TAATGACGTCATTACATTTTTCTCAAATTTTTGTAATTACATTTAAGAATAAAACATCATGTTAAATTTATAAATAATTTTTGGATAGTCGTGATGCAATTATAAAATTGTAGGAATGTTTAATAGTAGTTTATGCATCAAAGGACCTAAGTGCGCTAATATTGCCTCTCGCAAATAAATCATTCGAATCGTGCGGCGCATGCGTACGAGCCAAAGACAAGTGCGTATACGTGCAACTTGAGTTGATGATCTTTTATATAAAAGAGGTTATGATAAGAGTAACTCATTCTAGCCTTAAAGAGGAATCTAAGTACCCGATGAACGACACAGTGGAAAAAACTCCTATATAGTTTTTGTAAACAAACAAATTACACAACCTCATAGGATTGTTTAGAGATTTACTTAATTCGTCATTTTTTGTTCTAAAAATCTCAAAAAAAGTTAGTGTTTATCTGAAATTGATCATGATTGAGTACTTAAGTTACTAGAAGTTTAAGTAAATTACTTAGGTCCCGCTTTATTTCACCGGTCGATAATTGGCAACTTAGATCCCGCTCTACAGGCATGATAAGTTATGTTTATCATGCCTGTGTTATATAAATGTCTTACAGTTTAGTGCATCAATATTTATCATATATTGCACTCTTTTCTGTACATAAATCTTTAAGAATATGTCTGCAGTAATTATGATGTAAAATCATGATGTGAAGTTTTTATTATTGTGAAGCATCATTAGATATACATGAAGTTTATAAAAATCATCTATCAGGGTATTAGTATTTGAATAAAAATAACTATGTTTGATCGTAATCACACAGACATTAAGGCTCCAAACCTGATATTATTATTGTAATAATTCTTGAAAATACTCTAGAATAATTTTTAAAAATTTAATCAATAATTTATTGCTAATTAATGCTTTCTTTGCATTAGGAGTACATATAAGTTACATAAATTTCTATGAATAATGCAAATTAATGTATAAATTAACAATATTTTAAATATTGAACTTTACAAAAAGATGAAGATTCTCCCGAAATGTTGGAATTTTTTTTTTTTTTTAAAGTTTCATTTTCATGACAAGCTTCTTCATAAACTAAATTTTTTTTCAAAATGTATATTATTCACCACTGTTGTTTAATTATCAACTTCTTAACACGAGCAAACTATCTAGGATTGTGTTATTTAACAGATGATATTACATTTTTAATATCCACAAAAATGTCGAAACCATTTATTAATGTTAGCACGGTTGGTATTTAGTGCTTACTCTAAGCTAAATAATAATGAGAAAATTCTGCATTAAAAGCTAAAAACACGAAATGTAAAAAGGTTGGTAATTCTACATAATACTGTTTTTGAGTTTCACTCAACATAAAGTAAAAAGATGTAAAAAAAAAAAGTTCTATCGATCATACTTTTAATCAGCTTTATAATCTGTTTAATCTGAGTAAAGTTGGTATCTTTCTAATCATTAACAGTTTACATTTCTCTTTTATTATCCACAAACTATAAAGAAGGTTAGATATTAATTGTTGTTGATCTAGATACAGAATGAAATAAATTGAAAAGAAGTTCTTTTTGATATCTTGAAACAACTGAAATGGACAAGTTGATCTAAGAAATAGCAGGATTAGTTACATTCTTTCCCCTTTAGGTCTTTTCATTTACTCATTTTGTGAGCTAGAAAAATTTGAAAAGATTGAAACTGACATAAAATAAATTGAAAACATTTGAAATAATCTTGTAACTTAAAAAACTCACCCTAATTTTCACAATAAACAATCAGTAAATCATCTAAAATCAAAGCGTTAGAATATATTTTAAATCCTTCTGATTTTCTAAGAAACATCATCTTGGCTCCAATTTTTCTCCTTCTATTTACTTAATAATAATTTCCTTCAGGAAGGTCTGTGTCAAGAGGATAGGAAAAAATATCAGATGAAATCCATTTTCGGTGTGTGGATAAACGAGATCGTTCAATGTCCTTCAACAACTTTTCTGGACATGAGAAGCGAGTGCAACAGACATTTACTGGTTATTAGATTATTTTTGTACAGTTTACACTCAGCAACAACTTCGGAAACAGGAGTCTTGTTGATTCAGCGATCGCGTGTGTCATTTATAGGTATGACAGCAGCAGAAGAGCTTGGAGGATTGCGTTTACGGGCCGGAACGTGGAAACAAGCATATAAAGAGTAAGAGAGAACAAGATGGAGTGAAAGAGAGAAAGAAAGTGGTAAACGCGACAAGCGTAACAACAGCCGTGTCAAGAGGTGAACCAGTTGTGAAGAAAGAAGGAAAGAGATTCAAGAAATGGCTAGCACGTGGTAAAGAGCTACTGGGATGATGGTAATACCACACTGTATTATTTTTAGATATTAAATGCATTGAGAATACAATATAGTATTATCACATAGGATATATGTTTTTTTTAAGTTAGAACGTCTTTTTGTAACTTGGTAAATATCAAATTAGGTTAACTGTGCTGCAATTATACATGCGTGGTCATTAGAGATACTTTGTGCGAGACTATATAAATATTTATGAGAGAAATGCGCAATTGTACGGTGAACTCGAGGAACGGCTGGCAGCAGCGGACTATTCATACAGTTTTGTTTCTTGTTCATTTTATGCAATCTTTAAATATACCCCAACTCTTGTTCTTCTTATGACTTTATTAATTTATTATATTTAAAGTGAAAATATTTTACGGTAATTAATGCTAATTATAATTCATGTTTTGCTGTTTTAGTTTGTTAGAAATATTTGAATCAAATTCTACGTTTTTTTTTTTTTAAAAAAGAGAGCTGAATATTGTAAATAAATTGACTCAAGTGAAAAAAGAGCTTATTGATGATTATAATAAAAAAATTTTTATGTTTGGTTAAAATATTTTGGTGTTTAACGAATATTGTTGCTTACGGAATGCATGGGATGTGAATATTTGAAATTCCATATCGAATGATATTTATTAACAGCAGAAAAATGTATTTTAGTTACTACCGCATTGAATATTTTTTTATTTAAATTTTTAGTTGAAATAAAATTAATAGATGGATATAAAATTCAATTGATTTTTTAAACAATAATACTTTTGTGCAGTTTATTGTTTTTATTTTTAGAATATTAGTGGTTTGTAATGTAAAAGAGTGCACTTTTTTTCACCTACAAGAAGTTCTATGAAATGAATTTTTCAGTTTTTGAAGTTCAATCATAACTCCCATTTTGTTTAAAACTGTTTTTTCAACCATATTAATTACTTTATGAGTCAATACATGCGCATATTAAATCAATAAATTTTTCAACAAGATTTGAATGAATTTTTATATTTTTATAGTACAATATGTACACGGAGAAAAAATTCCAATAAAAATTACCGTGCTCAGCACAACAATCCACGCGCAAATGTCAATTCCCTAAAAAATTAAGACAACCTTCAAAGAAAAATTAGTAATCCTTTTAAAATTTTTATTATAGATTCAATATTTATTAAGAAGAGTAAAAGTAAAAATTCTTATGCAGCACGGTAATATTCGATAAATATTAATTTTTATTCAAACTTTAAACAAAAATTAGTAAGTGACTAGAAAAAAATGAGAATCTGTATATAATTTATTATGATCCGTGTGGTAGGAAAAATTCGGGTGCTCTCCTATAATTTTTTCTATTCTCGAGAGTTTCCGTGCTGGGTCGGGAATCTTCGAATTATCGGTCCAACACAATCTTTCTTTGTATTGTAAGACCGTTCACACAATCAAAAACATAAGCCGTAAAACGTACAATTTAAGACGTACGCGTGCATACTAACATCATAATAAGTTAAAAATTGGTTTGTACGCATGCGTACATCTTACGGCTTTTGTTTTTGATTGTGTGAACACCCTCAGTGCTATAGTTACTTTTTCCATATTGTAAACAAAGATGACATTCATATTTTTCGTTACGATTCAATATTGGCGGCAACACGTTATATCTTAACAATTTATGATAAGCTTAAACGGATTGACGCGGTGGACTCATGGGTAAGCGTCAGCTTGACACACGATGGGTCGCGGGTTCGAGTCCCGGCCGAGACAAAAGTCATTTATATGATTTTTCTCGGGCCACCGTGAGCGGGAGAGGAAGATCTCTTCGGAGAGCCGGGTGGTTGTATCGACGACACAGGTTTTCTGCGTAAGATCCCGATCGTAGGGATAGCAGTATTGTAAAACGTGTGCCGTATTTCATTCCAACGAATTAATTAGTTAAGAAAGTTAATTATCAATGAACCTAATTTATTTATTTATTTGTTTATATAACCAAAAAAATTATCACTAAACTTAAATAAAATTGTTTGTCGGTTACGTAGTTATCACAGCTAACGTTACTAAATTTTCAGGTGCTGTGGAACACTAAATTTTCTGGTGCTGCCAAAGTAATTTTCAAAAAACTGAATGATACATTTTCTTATGTAACTTATAATTTTTGTATGTTGATCATTACTTTTTACTTTTCAGTAAGTTTGAACTCACATTCTTGAGCAGCACGGTAATTTTTGTATGGATTTTTAAATAAAAATTAACGGAATTTTTTCTCCGTGTATATATACAGAAATAAGATTTAATAACATTACTCCAGAGAGTAAAAAATGTTTAATACTGGAATTGAAGTGAAAACCTATTTTTAAATAATTTTACATTCAATTATGTTTTTTGTTGTTTATGAACTCAACTTAAATTGGAAATACCATCGTTCATATTTTCTTTCTTCGTAGTTCAATTTATTTTTCTATTTAGAAATTCATAATTGCCTTATTTTTATTTACATAGTTTATAGAGTAATAAAAAACACAATATTCAATAATCAAGCCACGATGCAGTGATCAGAAGCAGCTTTCTTATAAAATTTTATTGTTTCCTTTTCATATTATTTTTTTTTTTTATTGCAAAGATTATGATTGTTCCTATAAATTTTTCGTAATTAATATTCTAATAAATCGCATTTAAATACCCCTCAAAATGGTAGAAACAAAATTAAATTATTTTCATGTAACCAAGGCAATTATTCTTAGAAAGTAGGACATTTTAAATGTCCTCACAACAAATAAGCTCTTTTGACGTATTATTATACTATCTAATTAACAGACTGGATCAAGTTCTCTTTCTTTTACTCTCTAATTTCACTGGTTATGGTTTAAAGCATTTATGAAAAATAATTTAAATTTGTATTTTGTAACTTTTACATTATAAAATATGTATCAAGAAATTCACCAAAGTAAGTTTAGTCGCATCCTTTAACAAAGTTTTTACTTTTGAATTTTTTCCCTGGAATAAAACATACTACTTTTTATTCTACCTGACCCAGTCAAGATGCATTGTCCTCTGGTAGATGGCACGGGAAAATTCCTCAAAGGAGTTACCGTTTGGTACTTGCGCTGGTGAATTCTCTCATGGAGCGAATCAATCCATTCTATTGCATGGAAACATCTTTTACACTGCTGTAAAAAATTAAACAAGTAGTTTTCTTATTATAAATGTATTATTGCGTTTTAAAATATGAATAGTTTCATTCTGAAATCTCTATATTAAAAAAGGCAATAATCCATTCCAGGATCAAAGTAGTAAATAACTCTGTTTTATAAAACTTACTTTTTTCGACAAAATTGATTCAATTGTTTCAATTGATTGTTCAATTCAAAAAATCTTTTTGTTTTTAATTTAATGTTAATATTTTACATAATTTCATCGACACGTGGAAGTCTTTTTTTATTATCTTCTAGAATTATTTTTGAAGAAATTATCCAACAGTTTTAGTTTTCTTTTTCAGCAACAAATGAAGAATTTGTACCTCTAAGAGGAAATTGTAGGTGAAATATCCTCTATTGTGTTGAGAATGTAATGATGTGAACTTAGATTACAACTATTTGACTACTTACCATTTGTATATAGAAAACAAATAATGATTTTTTTTGGTCTATCTTTATTTTTGCCGAATGAAATTAAGGGAGGAATATGGATACAGTGAAATAGGTTTTGAATGTCTTATGCTTTTGCTATCTACATTGTCTATGTTATATGAAAATAAAATAGAATATCAAAATTGTGATTATCGGAAAAGCTTTATTCTGTTGTTGAAGTATAATTTTTGAATAAAGTCCATGAAACTGCAAGGATCTTTTGTTTAAATAAAAAATAATTTTTAATTTTTAAATTATTAATAATTCTCATTTATCAAAAAGCTAGAATACATCTGAGTAAAATGTTAAAGAACAAAAAATCTGCAAATTCTTCGACTCATATGTGCTCAGTTTCATGATGAATCATGAAAAACTATTCAAGCATCCCTCATATTGCGATAAAAAGAATATCGTTAGAAACCTTCAAATGATTGATAAAAACTAATGGCATATTCGTAATCACTTTCTTGGAATTTGTCCAAAATATAACTCGAATATAAAAAGACGATATATACTTTGGTTGAGTAATATTTAATGCAAGCATAGCTAATTTATTAAGCAGTACTTTATCAACTGAGCATCAATGCTACTAATTTAGCAGACAATGGTATGTTTGAGACAAATATATTTGAAAAACACTCATTCTTCAAGTTTCAGGGTTTCTTATAGATCAATGATTTACATTTCGTTTCATACTAAGAAAAATCATGGTACAAAAACTTTTTCTATGGATGTTTCCATCATTTATCAATTTATTTACTATTACAGAAAATTTTGTTCGATTTTCATCAATCTACCACTCGAGGTGCTTTAACTAAAAATATTTAAAAAAATGTTATAATGGTTACAAGTATATTTTCGTTACTATTTATTAAAATTGTCTCAAGGTGAATTACACTGAAAAAAATCATATTTAATTGAAGTAAGATTTACTAATAGTTAATATATAATTTTAACTATAAATATAACATGTTAATTATAAATAAATCCTTTTCTGAATGTTGGTAATTGAATAGTCACTATAATTCTAGTGTTACTTTTTTATTGAAATGTCTGTTTCGATCTTTAATTCGATATATTGAAAATATGCATATTTCAATTTTAGTACTAGCAATGAATAAAAGTCAAGTAGTTTCTGATTTATTCCAATTAATAAAATAATTGACTTTATTATGAAGAATAATATTTTAATTGTGTTATTTTCGTGACAAAATTCAAATGGTTATATACACTGAAAAAAAGGTTTATTTATAGTTAAAATGTTATGTTTATAGTTAAAATTCTATCTTAACTATGAGTAAATCTTACTTCAATTAAAAATGATTTTTTTCAGTTTTAATGTCACAGTATTGAGCGATACGACCATGCTTAACTTTATATTCCGATCCTTTAATACATGTGCCATGAAAAAAACATTGTAAAGTTGGAGAAAAGATAAAAAATATACTTCTTTCAAGAATGTAAAGTTTAAAAAATTTAAAAAAAAGGTTAGTGTAGGTCATGAGCTTAATAAGTGGTGACTGATCCGTATGATAAATTTTCTTGTAGAGTATACAAGCCAATCGATAGACACTAATGAGAAGATTGACAAGTGGTTAATATTAGCAATAAATTAATCCATGAATAAACTAACCCACTTCTAGCTTTTCCATTACACACATCTTAGTAAAGAAAAAAAAAAGATAAATCTCTCCATATAAAATACTTCTTATTTTTTTTTCTCAGACTAGTGAGTTAGGTCATTGATCTACTTACTCCATTCCAGCTTAAAAGCTCCCTTAGGTAAATGATGGTGTCATTCTACACGATTAGCGATCATCTAACAATAAAGATAAATAATAAAACTTTCTTCAACCTTAAAATACATTTCATGTGTATATGAATGTTTATATTTACCTATGAAATCAAAGGTGACAGGTCTCAATATTTACCGAGTGTTCATAATTTGAGCTCATTCGTTGCATCTGGCAGTGATGTAAATTCACAAAACGCCACTGGAAATCTTGTTTCACGATACAATTGCCTGTAAGACGTTCCAATACGTTGAGTGTAAATAACAGAGGAGAAACTATTTCCATGGTGGCATGTTTCAGCGAGATGTGTGCCAAAAATACATGAATGTTTGCGACTGGCATCTGTTTGTTGCTATACGAACAAGACGATCAGATCGCTCTTGTACTATAGTCTGAGTTATTTTTAACTTCCATATTCCCTACCGTTATATCGATGATATACGGTATTTCCTTTGTCTTTCCAAACTATTTCTTTCTTGAAAGAAATTTTTAATATTCTTAAGAAGGAGACGTAGTATTATTATATTACTCGGTGAATTTCAAAGCATTAAATTTTGCTAGAAATGTATTACTTTTACGAACTTCTGTCATCAATGCTTAAGTCTATTTACATTATTTTACTCTTTTACAATATCACACTTCTTCTGTTATGTATTGTATAGTATATAGTGTTTCAGCGGCGCCAAAGTGCCTCGTATCGAGTACCACATTTGTGTTGATAAAAGCTTGTGTGGTCGAGAAGCAGCCAATTTTCAAGAATCTAGTATGCCATATTTTTGAACGAATATAATCGTAACATTTAGAGAAAATATAAAACTTGAAGCTGCTGTTACTACGATTTATTTTAATTTCATCATTTAATCTTTTCTACTTTATTCCGCTTTCATACTCAGCTGCTTCTAGCCACGAAAAAGGTGAAGAGGATGAATTATTTCGTATAATATCTGAATTGAACAGCAAACTTGCTTGGGTCCGAGTTTCTGGTCAAGGTAAATGTAATGCCAGCAACTCGCGAGTCCATAAATTATACATGAACTGAGTCGTTTCGAGATCTAGTAAGTTTTTCGTTGTCGACTAAAGTCGATCAAGTGGATTACAAATTGTAAGAGAGCTTCATAAATATTTATATTACATGGGCTCTCAACGAATACGTTTTTTGCCGACGTACCTATCGTTCATTTTAACAATAGTTATATCACGTTTTTTTGTTCTTATTTCTACTGTATATCAGGTATAAAAGTTTCCGTTGAAATTGAAGAGATTATGAGTATCGGGTGTGTATTTTGGAGAAAAATTTTATTAATATCTTGAACTGATTTCTTGGCATATTAAATAATCTTTATTTTGGAGTAAAAATTATCCCTCATTTTTACTCCAAACTTTTTTTTGTGTCAAAACTTTTTAAATGATTATCTCTTACTTATTTTTAAGTTAATTATTTTGGTAATTATTTAAAATTGGGGCTACAGGCGAAAATCGCTCTAAAAAATTTTTTATGCATTTGGAGTTATTTCTGAGAATACAAATAGTGAATTTAAGGCGGGGGAGAAACATTTTTTCCATTATTTCAGACATTTCATGGTAGAACTTACATATGATAAATCACTGAATGTCTCTAAAATTGTTGATCGTACATTTCAGAACGTGGAAAAAAGAGGCAGGGGGGGGGGTGTTAAAAGGACATAAATATTTTCAAAAATTACAAAAGTATTTATGTCCTTCACCCCCCCCCCTCCCCCGCACCTTTCACCCTCTTCGTCACTTTATTATTTGAATTCAAGCTATACCTATGCCTAAAAATCCTGTTTTTTTCGATGGAACCTCATGAAACATGTCTCTGCCACCTTCAATTGTCTAATTCTACCTAAGAAAATAGTTTCCAGGTGGTGAAAAATTTTTTGGAGCGATTTTTGCCTGGAGCCCCAATTCTAAATAATTACCATTATTTTTATGATTCATGAATAAAAAATTTAAATAATTTTTACTGATTGTACAGTTTAAATAGAAATCACTGCGCTAGACATTGTACATGTATTGGATTCCAATGAATCATTCTATTAGTAAGGGAATTTGGGGCAAGACAGCTTTTTGAATTCTAAAATGACTTATACACATGATAATGTAATTTGAGTGATAGGCATATTTTTAAATCAATATTAACTTTTGTATTAACAGCTTCAGAAAATCCGCCTTGCTCGGTATTCCCCTATATATTGTGACCGCGTATTTATACTGAAATATAATTATAATGATATATGAAAAAACTCATCAAGTTTATTTTACAGTTGCAATTAGTACATTAATAAAGATTTAATAATAGTCTTATGAACCAAATTAATGATGTATTAAAATATATTTTCATATAATTGACATTTTCAAATGTTTATCATGTTTGATGATATTTTAGGGGAATAGAAATTCCATTATAAGGCACGATAAGCATCTTTAGACAACTTCTGATATATACATCTATACCATCTGGAACTTACAAGTATATGCAGGGAGTAATTTAGTAGCATGAAATAGTCTTCCCTACTTGATCACTTTAGTAGCAATATAATAGTATGAGAAACCCTCTTTACATGAATTGTTTTTATAAAACTAATTAACAAAAAAATTATTGCTCTTTGTAATTGTTAATTGAATTATTTTAAAATATATTCAATTTGCTCTTCAGCGAATATGTTTACTGTCATATCGTATAATAATAAATGCAATCATGAACACCAAAATTTTGAACAATAATAAAGTATATAGAGCATTAAAGGGGAATGAGATACAATTTACAATAAACAATTTAATTAGATTGTAGTTTACAAGTAAATTATATTATTTAGTAAAATAATCATAAATAAAATTAAAAACAAAAAAAAATGAAATTAAATTGCTTATCGTAATGTTAATGATGTGTATAATATTTAAGGCTTAAGGATGATGAAAATTATTATTGGAATGTTGTCCAAGAAGTGATGATTAATTACAAAATTGTCAATGTACTGGATCAAAAACTTTTTCATTGATTTCAGTTCCAATTATATAAGTTATGCTTTGTGACAGTTCGTGATATTAGAAATTCCATAAATTATTAAAATTTAGATTAGTTCTATTTATTTGTATGTTAATATTTTTTATTTTTCCCTAGAAGCAGGAAAAATAATAAATTATGAAAATGATATTTCATAAATATGTGATAAAATAGTTTAGGAATAAATGTTTGAAATATTTTTTATAAATAAATTTTTCGGAATTTTTCAGCAAATTAAAAATTGCAATATTTTTTAATAAATGTTCAAATCTCCATTTTATTCACATAAATTCCAAAAAATAAATTAAAAAAAAACAAATATAAAGATTGGAGTATCCAAAAAATTTATATGAATTTGGCAGTTTTTTAATTAACAACTTGAAATTGAAATACAAAAGCATGTATGCAGGACGTTTTTTCTTATTGAATTACGATTTCACAAACCGTAAATCCTCTGCTTTTGGAAGTGTATTCTAATATGCTAAAAGTAAGTTGAAATAAAATCAACATTGTACATACTTTTTACACATTTAGAATTTGCAGTGAAATTCTTCACGCTTCTGAATTTTTTTTTTCAAATAAGTGATTCTTCAATCTTTTTCGATTGGTTAGTCTAGTTAAAACTGCGAACTTTTTCTTTCATAAAATAGCCGCTATTGACACGTATATCATTTAGAATTACACAGAAAAGTACACACCAAGTAGCAGAATTTAAATAATACCCTCCTATATTCATTTTAGTTGCAGTGAATTTATTGTTCAACTTTGGAAAAATATCTCAGTCGATGCTGTTTTTACTTGAAATACTTTTCCAAAATGATGATTATATGCGTTCTAAGATCTATGTCATGTTATAGTTTCTACACTGTTCTAATACTTTTTAAAGATAAACAAACTTTGCTTCGTGCAAATAAAGTGAAGTGTTTGGTTCTCTAAATACAATAGAATTCCATAACGTTGTCTGCTCTGTATTAATGTTATTCGTTTCATTGCTTTAAAACGAAAAAGTTATTTCTCATTTTAAAAGCTTTTTTATGAAAAATATAAAGTGAAATCTTGATTGAATATTGTTCACATTATTACTGTTATCATTAAATAAAATAAACAAAACAGTTGCATTTCTAAAAGTATTTTATTTTAATTTTTAAAAGCAATTAGTAATGAAATTTTCTATTCGATTGTTATGTTTTTAAAGAGTGGATAATTTTATTTTTTAGTACTCATTCGAACAATTTTTCGTTTCTTTTTAGAAAAATAAAGATTTCATCATAACACTAGCGTTTGCTATAAAAAAATACTCACTACTTTTTTCCTAGTGTATTTCAATAAACATACTGTTGTTCTTCATTATGAAATGCGCAGAACACGAGGAGTTAGCTAACTAAATAGTTACAATATTAATACAGCTCAAAGAGGTTGTTTTTAATGAGATTTCACGATTTTTTGTACATATCAACTGAAGAGGAATATTAAAAATATATAAAATTGTTTAGAAAATACTTTAATTATTTGTATATTCGCGCTGAACCAAGGATCGCTTGTTACTAACTTTATAATCGGTTAATAAGGAGACTTCAGAGCAATCAAAAACTTTGGTCACCAACTTGGTAAAAAAACGTATGAGTGCTCCATGAATAAACTCTCATTTTACTCAGTTTTTGCGCAACGAAATTTTTTCAATTTCGTATATTATGAATAAAGCAATGATTATACTCAACAGTATACCTAACTGAAAGTTAACATTTGTTTTCCTTGCCAATTCCTGATTTTAGCCCATGTTTATGTTGGAATAAGGATAATATTTTATTTGTAAAAATTATAACCTGCAAAAATCATCTTATAACCTGTATAGAGACTCAGTAGTGTCTCATCGTGACTTGAGGGTAAAATGGCGGCAATGGCGAGACATAAATAATTATTTTTGAATAAATTGATATATTTTGGATATTAATTTTCAGTTGATAAATACGCAAAAATGTAAAATCTCACCAACCCCTCACAAACAAGCCCCTCCTTTTGGACTACACAAAAATGTGCACCAAACATAAATAATGAAGATGATGCAATTACAAAAAATCGGACGGACTCTTATTTTATTTCTTAGTGTTGAATCCTGGATAACTGAGAAATATTTGACAAATCGTTAAGATTCTTTAAAAAAATTCTTATTCCAGAACGTACTAAATTTAGATAAATCGGGAGTTATGTAAGGAATTTCTATTTTGCTTTACAAAAATTTCACCAAAATGTTTCAAATTTGTTCTGCTCCGTCTTCGGAAGAAATTTTTTT